TGATGTGCCAGGTAATAGATTAGTTGATGGGCCAGGTAATAGGTTAGTATTATGCTGATGCGGGTCTTCCGTGAGGGGCGGGGGTCTCAGGTAGCTGACTCGCCTAGTAATAGATGGGGGTTTTCCTTATCAAATAAGTATTGTTTGGCAGATTGGGCCACAAGAAGAATAAGGTAGAATGAGGACAGCTTTACCCACTCCTCTTGGTCTGGAAATACCCTCTAAGTGTTGAAATTCCTCTTGTGCTCTCTTTGACCTTAAGGGCCAGAGGAATAGGGACAAATTGCAAATGGGGTTTGGAAGCCAGAAGGGTTTGCTAAATTGTTCCAAAAATGACTTGAAAGTGCACAGGACAAAGCATTTAAAAATGTGAGGGGAGTGCATTAGGTGAGCCTAGAGTAAACTGTTAGGAACTCATTAAGAGGAGTTCTTCATATGAAGTGAAAGTAGGATTTTTTTAAAGTTATTTATTCAGCAAATGCTTGAGCAATAGCAGGCACTGTGCTTGGCTTGGTAACTACAGTTGTAAGCTTCGGTTTCTTCATCTGTAAATGGAGATGATAGTACTTATCTCAAGGTTGTGAAGATTCATGAGATGATGTTTGATGTTTGCACTTAGTGCTGTACCTGGCACTTATTAACTACAGGAACTTTTTAACCAAATCTTTTAAATGGTACTATGGCCTGTATTTTTGTTTTAAATTTTTTTTACCATTCTTATTGGGCCTGGGTCTTGAAGATGGAGACTATCATCTTTTGAGCCCTTCAGTTAATGCCCATTCACTTGATATAGGTAGTTAGTATTTAAAGATAATAGACACAAAAAAGTTCATAGTTGCAAGATGCCTGACTTTTGTAGGTATGTGTGCCCATAACTAAAGCTGCTGATTTGGGGTAGTAGGGGTAGATGATATTATTTTATTTTCAGTAAAAGATAATCCAGGTAAATGCTTTATAAGTTGTAAGACTATGCAAAATAATTCCTATTTTTTTCATGAAAGAGAAAGACCTATGAGTTGACCAAAAAATTAAGTGAATTTGTTATTTGGTTAAATTTTCTCTTAATGCTACTTTCTGACTAATTGGAAGTCTAGGTAACAAAATAAAAAGCTGTTTTAAGGGAAATCAACATATTGGAACATAGAGTGTTAACACCTTCCCTAAAAATTTGGGAGGAAAAAATGAGTACCTGATTAATCCTCAGCTCCCTCTGTTTTTTGTTAGTGATGGTGTTCTGCTTTAACACCTGTAGAAACCCTGTGATAATGTCCTAGGCCTTGCCTTATTAGGGGAGGCTTGCAAGCATTATGTCGTTGTACGAGTTTGTTTATCTTCCTCAATCTTTCTAACCTTACCTACCTTATAGTTTGGTAATGGGTAGCAAGAGGTACGTTTAAGAGCTCATTTAAAGCTCAAGCTGAATATTCCCTGAGTTGGCAGCTTTCAGATTATATGAGGAACAAATACTTTTACTACCTAAGTTAGTAGAATGGGTCTAATCTACTCTACATTTATTTCATTCTCTTTTGACACTTCTGGTAGCGCTATAAAAATATTAAATGTTAATCTTAGGATCACAAAACATACTGAGAAAATAACTTTGATAATTTAAAAGGAATGCCAGTCCTTTTAATTTATCAGGGCCCCCCAAAATTAAAATGAGACCGCAATCAGGTCCTACTTTCCCCGCCTCTCCCCTTAAGCTATATGTATTCATTTCTTGAAACTGCTGGCTGTTGTCACAATAATTAACCTAACAGTGCCACACCTGACTCTATAACCCACCCTGTATCTTAACAATGTATAGCCAATCACTAACCAATGTTATTTCTGTAAAGTAATGAGAAATCCTGGCAAACAACTTTGTGTTAGCCTACTCCCTATCTCCCTTTTTTGCCTTTGAAAGCCTGTTTGTAACAAAGGCCTGTGGGATCTCATAGCTAAGGTTACCTGGGTCTGAGTCTTCTGGGTAGCTGTCCTCACTTTGACTCAAGTAAACTATATTTTGTGCCTCAGCCTCTCCTTTTAGGTTGACAATATTGTATTAAGGCACTAAAGTAAAGTGATGGTAATCCTAAAACAGGAGAGGATCTGAAATACAGATTTTTTATTTATTTATTTTTTTTTGAGACAGAGTCTCACTCTGTTGCCCGGGCTAGAGTGAGTGCCGTGGCATCAGCCTAGCTCACAGCAACCTCAAACTCCTGGGCTCAAGCGATCCTCCTGCCTCAGCCTCCCAAGTAGCTGGGACTACAGGCATATGCCACCATGCCCAGCTAATTTTTTCTATATATATATTTTTTTAGTTGTCCAGATCATTTCTTTCTATTTTTTTAGTAGAGACGGGGTCTCCCTCTTGCTCAGGCTGGTCTCCAACTCCTGACCTTGAGTGATCCACCCGCCTCCGCCTCCCAGAGCGCTAGGATTACAGGCATGAGCCACCGCGCCCGGCCTAGATTTTTTTTTTTTAAGTGTCAAGTAAAAAATAAATTTGGACTTAGTAAGGAGAGACTTTATTCTAGAAGGATTATTGCAAAGGGGGAAAGGGACTATTGCAATGGGGAGAACTCTGGCCCAAAGATACTGAGAAGCATCTCTAAGGAGTCAACTATGCCACAAAGAATAGGTGTGGGGAAGTGGGATGTAAGGGTGATTTATCTGAATGTTCTACCCTGAGGCCAGCCTGTTCTCAGGAGGGGTTGTTCACTGCTGGCAAAGGGTTGGCCAAAGTTCAGGGACTTGAGGGAAGGAGAGAAACTTTAAAGGCTGGTCAGCAGGCATTTTGTTCTAATTGATAAGAAGGGACAAGCAATTCAGCAAATCACTCATAGATTCATAATGAAGCAGAAGGCTCTGGTCATAGGTAAACTAGGGTTCAGGCATCCTTGAGTCTTATCTGAGGCAAGCTGAGGGAAAGATGGGAGGATTTCTTTAATTATGGCTATTAAAGAACCAGGAACACAGGACTCAGGTAAAATTCAACTTGTCAAAAGGTATTTTCGCTATTGGACATTGAAAATAAATAAGTACACAAACATCTACATGAGAAGGCCTTAGGGCTGGGCACAGTGGTTCCCGCCTGTAATCCTAGCACTTTGGGAGGCCAATGAGGATTGCTTGAGCCCAGGAGTTTGAGTTTGCCATGAGCTATGAGGAAACCACTGCACTCCAGCGTGGGTAAAAGAGTAAGACCCAGTGTCAAAAAAAAAAAGGCCTTAGGAGGCCCATTGACCCATTCAGGAATTAAATAAGTATGAGTATTTGTAAATCCACATCACTAGGTGTAGTTTTGAAAGTATTTAAACCTGGATTTTATTTGTACCGTGGTGAATCTTTCTAAGATTGTGGTAGATTAAAAAATCCAAATTAATGAGGTATAAATGAATAAATTTAGGATTTTTTGTTTGTTATTGGTTTGCT